GGGCCCCGCGGCCGGCCCCGCCGCGGCGGCGACAGCACTGAGCGGCGGCGCCTGCAGGGGGCGGCCTAACTCTCGGGGCGTCACAGGGGGCGCGACGGGGGGGCGTCACAGGGGGCGGGGTGACGCCGGCCCGTCGCGAGCGGGCTCTGCCTCCGCCGTCGGGGCGCCCCCGGGGCGGGGGCCGGCTGGCCGGAAAATGCCTCTGAAGATGTGCCGTTTGCACAGCTGCTGTTCAAGCGCCCTATTTGCTCCCGTGTTAGAATGTTGACGGATGCGTCCCTCTGTGCGTCGGGCGAGGTTTTGGAGTAAAATACGGCAGCGGTGGCCACGGACGGGGCTGCTGACAAACCGTCGAACGCGCACCAAAGCTTCGCCCTGTCCCGCCTCTCCCCCGCGGCGGGGTCCGGGTCGCCTCGCGCGCGGCGGCGGCAGTGGCCGAAGCGGCCCTCGCCTCACCCGCTCCGCGTTTCCCCTCAGCGCGTGGCCGCGGAGCCTGGGGATGCGGGTCCCCAAAAGCAGAGCCGGAGGCGGCCAGCACCTGGCTCGGGCGGGCGCGGACCTCGGGCGGTCTCTCGCCTGGCTCTCGCTGTCACTCGCAGTGACACCCCCTCGGGGCTAGTGTGAACGTACATCGTGCTGGCATGAGGCGCGCGTTCGCGTGGCCAGGTTTCCTCCAGCGTGCTCTTCTGCAAGGCTGCTCAGCTCCTGCCACCCAGCGGAAGATGTGCACCAGCTCCTCTGTACACGGTGCCAGGCACGTGAAGCACGTGACCCCTGCCCAGAAACCGAGGGGGCAGAAGAGGGCCAGAAGGACACGAAGGAAAGAGCTGGGGAGCTGCAGCCCTGCTCCATGGGCTAAACTGCTGGCAGGCCACCCTGGGGACCACACCTGATCCTGCTGGTTGTCTCCTTTTTGCCGGCGCGTTAGGGTAGAAACCCAAAGTCATTTGCTTCATATCGGCCACAGGTGAAAGCACCTTGTTTATGCTGACACCAACACCCGAATTAGCCCCACTGGGAAATTTCAAGTCAGGACGGTAAAAGCTCTGCAGAGGAAACCACAGGCATTCCTCTTCACTGTTTCAGGGAAGGCTCTGACTCGCTTCCTGAGGCAGAGGCTTGCAGGTCTTTCTCAAGGGCTTCAATGGTCTTGGCTTGTTGCTGGGCTGTGGCTTCCAGCCTGGCCCTTCCCACTTGGAGCCTGAAAAAGAAGTACAGGCCTTACCGCAGAAGTCCACAAGAGCACAAATCCCAAAAGAAGAGTGTGAAAGAACCCCATCTAAAACAAGAGCACCTTTGGAAATCGTGTATTACTGTCTTGCTGGGATGCAAGAAGACAGTCCTGTTGTTTTCACACAATCGCAGAAAGCGGAGCCTTGCTCCACTGTGTTACTTCCTTACCGTTGCACGCGTTCTTCCAGCTCTGGGATAGCCGCAGGGCCCAGGAGGCCCACTGAGGCATAGACAGAGGCCTCCAGGCCCTGCCTGAGCTCTGTCATGGTGTCCCTGTCTCCAGCTCTGTCTCAGCTGTGCCTGGCCACAGACCGCGCTGCTCCAGACCCCAGCGCGCAGGCTGCCTTCCCAGCCTGCCCTTGGCCTCCCTGTGGTCCTGCCTGGCCCGTCACTGGGCTGCATCTGACCCTGCTCGCCACCACTGGGCCTGAACCCCAACCCGGCCTGGCCTGACTTCCTGGCTTGCCCTCAGAGCTGCCGCCTCACCAGGCACTTGTTCGTTCCTCTGGGTTCTCAGCTGCCCCGGGTGCCCGCCCTGCTCCCCTCGTTCGCGTAGGCTGAGGCCAGCAGGGCAGGGCCCAGCCGTGGGACGCCCTTTGGCTCCCTGTCCCCGAGGAAGCAGCGTGCCTGCGCTGCTCCCTGACACCGGTCTCTCGCCACCCTCACGAGAGAAAAGGTTTTTCCTTAGGTTGAGGTGGGATTCCCCCTGTTCCAGCTTGTGCCCACTTCTTCACACCTTTCCCCTCGGCAGGCTACAAATCCATCGGATCCCCGTGGGATCTGCAAAGCTTCCACGGCTACCAGAAGCTCGCCCACCACCTTCTGCCCAGACCGCCAGGAGGATTGCTCTACGGAGGCAGGAAGAGTCTGGTAGCTGATTATTAGCAGTAGCTCAGCGCTAGTCCCTGATCTGAGCACAGTCATGGTTCACGCCTCCCCAGAGGAAAAGGACACGGATGCGTGCTCCCTCTCGGAGACGTCTGCAGGACTGATTTTCATTCAGAGCAAGGGCAGAGAGAGACGTGCTAACTGCCTGCATAGGAAGAGAGCCTGAGTGAGCCTTCAGCACTAGGCCTCTCCTCATCCAAACCCGCTAGGTCCGAAGCGCTCCAGTTGTGCAGCAAAACTAAGGCACGTACTAGATGACGCAGTTTATTAAGTACCAAGCTGCAACAGAACACTTGGAATTAGATGCAGGGTAGCGGCTGCACAAGGTGGAAGGCAAAGGTTTCCAGGCTTCATTCATCTCCCTGTGAGCACTCTGTTTTCTGGCACTGGCACTTCCTCTGCTCCAGCATCTTCTCATCGCTAACCGTGTTGGAGGTTCAGCTGTGACTGTGGAAGGGCAGGAAAAGAAAAGGCTGTGTGTTAGTTTTACAGCAGGCTGGGCCAAAGGCGGCGCTGGAAGGTGGGTCCTGGAAGCACAGCACTAACGCGCAGATCCAGATACCGAAAACCAAACACTCAAACGTGTCGACAACAAACTTACAGCCTTTGGGCTACAGACGCACGTGGAAAATTGCGTTACATGGACATAGGGATCAACTTCTTGCGGTTTTTGCCTTATTTCTTGGCCAGCTCTTTCTCCCGTCTCTCTTTTAGACTGCTGTAGTTGGCTGTGACCCACCATGCTAGTCTCCCAACGGCTTCTGGGGTTAAGCCCTGGTTCTGCCCTGGTTCTTCCCGAGTCCCACGCGGAGTGGACAACTGTTCTCGCAGGTCCTGGTTTTATCTTGCCCGCTGCAGGCGTTTTTTTGACTGCATCTCCAGCTGTTGGGAAATGTCACCAACTTGTAGGCAGCAAAACAAAAGGAACTCAAAGAGAGAGCTCTCAAGTTACCCACTTCTGTGGCAATCCGTAAGGTGGGGGTCCGTCGAGACTGCATTCGTCACCTGCTGACAGAGTATTAAAATGTATTAAAATCTTGATGTACGGTGACCAGCTCCGCTTCTTCTCGCTCGGGGCCCCTGGGACCGCGTCCTGGTCGGTGAGGCCATTGAGCTCAGCAGCCCTGCTGGGACTCCTGGCTCATGGTTTTTACCCATCACGGTAACTACCTCCGTGTTCATCACCATCATCACCATCTACTGCTACAGCAGCAGCAGGAGCCTCGAGAGAAGTCAATCAATTGCAAAATACAGCCAACAGATAATTAGCAACACGGAAAAAAAGTATAGGAAAAGAATCGTACGGGTTCCAGCAGAAAAAAATAATCACCTCAAATCCACCAAACAAACCAGAGCTCACCTTTCTTCTTTGTTTACCAACTTTGTTGGCCACCTCAGAACAGCTGTTCTCCATCTCCCCCCGGGAACTGAGCTGGGACTCTCTCTTTCTCCCCGCATATGCCATCAGCTTTGTCCGAAGTCCCTCCAGAAGCATCTTCAACCTGCACAGCAAATTAGTAAGGGAAGCGTGAAGCGAAGCAACGGTCGGCCTTTTTCACGTACTCTTATGTAAGCGGCACAGCCGTGGCGTGCTTCATCTGTAACATGCTCGAAGGGCCAAGATTGGCTAACACCAGCCAGCCCT